GGGCCCTGCCATCCCGCCCGGCGCCGGCCCGGCCTGGGCAGCGCGGAAGCCCCCAGGGCGGCCCTGCGCTGCTCTGTCTCGCTGGGAGAGGGGCACTGGGGCAGGCTGCAGCCAAGGAAGGGGCACAGGACTGGGCTGCACCGTATACACTAACCCGTGTGTGTGTCCGCCTGAGCCAGCTTCAGCTCCCGTGTTATATGTAAGTGTGGGTATAAGCGCACAGGCACACACATGCTTATGCGCACATATGTCAAGCTGTGTGTTATATGCACGTGCACAGAAATGCCAAACTCTGGAACTCTTGCTTCAGAAATGATACCTTTTATTAGAGCGCCTAAATGTTTTTTTGCAATTTCTTAACTCTTTCTGCAAGCTTTTGGACACACGCACCCAGAGCTGACCCTAGGGAGGTGCGGAGCCTGGGGCAAATCAGCCTGCGGGGCCCCTTTGACGCTGCATGGGGCTGTGGGACCCCTGCAAAGTGTTGTAGCAATGAAATTTGGCACTTGGGGACAAGCAGACCCTGCACACCCTCCACAGAAAAGCCGCTCAACAGCCAGTTGGAGGTGGGGGGTGGCAAGCAGCTGGATGCTTCTTCCACAGCGTAGGGCTGAGCTGCCAGCTCCAGGCAGGCCCCACAGGAGGGGCCATAGCCGCTTTGCCCAGCTCCACGGGGCCCCCAAAGTGCGGGGCCCAGGGTAGTTGCCCCAATTCGCCCTACCCAAGGGATGGCTCTGCACACACCCTTTCTCAGGCTAAGGGAAAATTAACGATGGTAAAAAGTCTCCAGAGGTAGAAAATAAACTTCGTTTTTGCACAGAGATACACGTACATGTACATGCATGCACACGTGTATACATGCACATATACACACTGCAATTGATTTAGGCTACGCTTTGTGGACTAAAAAGTAAAATTAAGGAGCTGCTTGTTTTTCCCCTACCAAAATGAACCAGCCTGAGAAATGCCACAGACTTCAGTTTTAACCTGGAAGATGGCTACAGCTTGTTAACAGTTATAGAGACAGCATAAAACTTGGGAACAGTGATATGTTAGTATGTCAGTAAGACTAAATCCTGTAAGGAACCCCATTAAATTAATCCTATTCCATGACCCAAACTCTCAGTGAAGTAATGTGAAGTGTTTTACCATTGCATTGGATCTTAATTTTGTGACACTGGCAAATAAAATTGTTAAGGATTCCAGTAATGAAACAGGAGGGTTGTTTGTGGGAAACACTGATAGGGACACGTAGCATGACAACCTTAGATTATTTCTGTGATAAAATGCCAAGAAAATTTGCCAGACAGATCATTTTTTTTAGTTGCACATTTGTCTTTCTCCCACTCTCTCTCTTGCCTAGTTTCAGAAGTTGAACATCTTACTTAAAAAAAAACCTAATTCCAGACAATGGTAGAATAAAATCATTTTTATCAAAGAATCGGTGATTCTTTTGGAACGTCAAGTCCAAGTAAATTAAAAGAAATTTCTGTTGGCTACTGAAACTTGAATGGGTTCTTCTAGTTTTAGTTCTGAGGCTCAGTATTTTTGGCTTGCCCTTGTGGCCTGCAAAGGTACTTTACAAATGAATTTGAAAAGACCCTTTCTTCATACTTGTAATGATAGGAGAACTGGCCACTGAGTAAGATGAATAGCTCCTTGGGAAATGTGGTGATTGTCTTTCCTAAAGCTCTGTTTACAGTCAGCAGCATCAGTAAGGGTGATGGTACCTTACCTGTGGGTCTTGAAAAACTTTCTGGTTGATACTTGTGTGGAATAGAAAAGGAGTTGAAAAGAGGGCAGGGATGAAAAATTAGTAAAGGTAAAATTTATGGGGAGAGGGGGGCCCTGAAGACAAAAGCAAGGAGGAAAGGCCATTGGAGAGATGATGTGGTCCAACCAATAAACAACAAGGGAATAGCTACAATTATTGTATTGTAAGTATTAATAGCTACAATTTATTGTCCAGAGGGAAAGTAGGTGGGTGTCAGAGGTAATAGATCTGGATAAGAGGGGCTTGATAAGAAGCTGGGGCTTATCTGTTTACGGAGTTATTTGGGAATAGCTTTTCATTTTATATTCTTATGTGTTAATCTGAATAAACTGATCTTTCATCTTGGACTGCATCTATGTGGGGACTTCTCAGGAAAGTTACATTCACATTTTCAGTTAATTTAGTTTAAAGCAAATTAATAAAAATGTATAATCCTAGTATGGAGGATCATTCAAAAGAATATGGCCATATTTCACTGTACCTTAATTAACATGGTGGGAAGTATCAATAAAGGCTGTGGTTGTATCAGTGGAGAGGATTAATAAGAAAGAAAAGGTATTCACTTTTTTCATGTTAAAATTAAGCTGATTTAAAAAAAAAAAGTTTACTACTGTAAACATTGTCTTTGTCCAAAGCTTAAAAGACGGTTTCTTCATACCTGTAACAACAGGAGGACTGGCCACTGAGTGAGATGAATAGCTACCTGGGAAATGTGATTGTCTTAACCTCTGTTTACAGTCAGTGGCATCACCTCCGAGGTATTTTAGTTCAAACAGCATGCCGCTGCCATTTTCTCAGCGCTCGCTGATGCACATTTCACCACTTACACAACTGATGCTTGCATGTGTAAAAATGCCCCAAAATAATAGCAGTTGCATATAAGTTACATTTCCTGCCCAAATGACTAAATAAACCAGACACGTACATGGGATTAGATAGCACTGACTAGAACATGTGGGGATACGAATGATGTGGGAATAAGAGGAAAGGTTAATTTATGTTTATTTCTGTAAAATTTGATCTGCTGTAAAATATTTGATAGCACAAGATAAAAGGCCTTTAATTTGGTGGAGGAGGGGAGTATTCTTTGGTAATCTTTGAATAATGCAATATTTCAGCAACTGCATGCTTTGACCATGAATAATGCAAATATGCACAAAGAGTATCACAAAATATCTGTTTACACTGTTATACCATTAATATTTTGGGAAATATGGAGTTCTGGAAAAAAGGAGCAACAACCCTCTGTTTTATTCACAGATGTTGACTGGTGGTCATGGCTTTCAGAAATGTGAACCGAAGACGACATGTTGGACTTCAGCAGCTTTCATCTTTAGCATCAACAGGAAGAACGCTTTTAGGGCCACTAAAATCCTATAAATTTATTGTAAATGAAAGCACTAATGAGAGTGTTTTGGCTTGCTCCGTAGTTAGACTTCTTGAAAGTTTAGATTTAACTAGTGCAGTGGGACAGCTTCTTAATGAAACAATTCAGGCACAAAGCAAAGAATATAAAACTGGGACAACTACCCTGTTGTTTCTTGCTGGTGCCTGGAGCAGTGCTATACTTGAATGTCTTCAGCAGAATGTTCCTGTTCCAGTAATAGTATCTGTGATGTCTGAAGGATTACATTCTTGCAGTGAAAGAGTCAAGTGTCTTCAGGTCTCAGTACATGATTTATATAAAGGGCCAGATTCTGTTCCCATTCAGTCAAATTTTATCAGTGCTAGACCCCAGATTTTTGAAAATAAAACTTCCAGTGCTGGGTCTAGCAGCTTTCTGAATCCTCCTATGCATCTTCATAAAGATGTTCCTCTAACAGAAGAAGAATGTGTTCCAGAAGGTCCTTGTTCCCATCAAGCAAACACTTGTGATCTTCATAACAGATGTTTGAGTTCACCTACATATGCTGCAGGCCGTCAAATGCACTCAGCAGTTGGACCTGTGGGTGATAAAACTATGCTCTCAATTCCTGGAAGCAGTTTGATTACATCCAGCTGCAACAAAAAAAGGTTAACTCACAGTAGACACTTTAATGCTGTAGGAAAAAAATGCTCTCTGCTCCATGTAGGCAGTTTTCAAGGGAATCCCATCGGACCTTCAATGCATCACTATGAATATAAAGATTTTGGACAATTAGCAATGGCTCTGAGCCATGGAAATCAGTCTGTTATGAAATTGGTACAGGATATTGTTAGATGTCAGCAATGGAAAACTAATCCCACAGGTTTGTCTCAATTTAATATTGAAGAAATTGTGACATGCTGCTTACCAGGGGTGCCTGAAAGTTATTCTTGTGTCTGTCCAGGGTATGTCACATCAGTATCTCCAGAGAACGCCGCTGTTACCAAGCAGCTTCAGGGCCGACTGCTTCAGATTCTCCTCGTAGACGGTGACCTAAGTGAAGAGTATCATCATTTGGGATTTAATAGACCAACTAATGTAAAGACAGTATCAGAAAGCTTGGGTGTACAAGAAAGCAGCTCAGGATGTTCATGGACAAGTCGTATGTTAGATATTTTAATGCAGTCAGAAGTAAATTTAATTTTGGTAAAAGGAAATGTGTGTGAACATCTTATGGAAAGATGTATCCTAAATAACATACTTATAATCAACCCAGTGACTCAGAATGTGTTATATGCTTTTGCTCGGGTCACAGGAGCAAAACCTGTGACGTACCTCACCCAAGTAAACAGTCAGTGTGTGGGAGGTGGTGTCTGGGTGGATTTCTGGAGAATTGGTGAATTGAGTACAGAGGAATTGGAGAGCAGGATGCTTATCAGTATAAAGGCTGAAGGAAGTACCCTGGTAACAGCTGTTCTTAGTAGCACTGTGATTTCAAAGATGCAAGTCATTGATGATCAGTTCTGGACTTGTGCTTATCGACTGCAACATGCTTTAATTGATGGGAAAGTTTTTCCTGGAGGTGGTGCAGTTGAACTCTTCTGCCTCAGTCATGTTCAGAAGCTTGTAGACCAGGCTTTAAATCAAGCAAATAAAAACTCTGCAGGAGAGTTTCACAGTGCTCCTTGCTGGATGGCAGAATCTTTGGCAGAATTTAAACCCCTTGTCCTTAAAGCTCTAGCAAGTGGTTGGCATAAATACCTTTCAACAGTCATGTGCAACTCTGCTAATTACACATCAGAATTTGAAGCGAGTATCTCTATAAAGCAGCATCTCAAAAAAGTGACAGGCTGTGGCTCTCCTTCAGCATATATACTGCAGGAGTTTAATCTGAGAGAGGTGGTGGGCAAAGTAGGCCCTGATCCATTAACTAAATGCATGGAATTTGTACAGGTCTATGACAATGTGACAGCCAAGTTGGAAGCGTGGCGGAGGGCTCTAGACTTGGTGCTACTGGTGCTTCAGACAGACTCTGAAATTATCACTGGTCCAAAGAGAAATGAATTATTAAGTTCACCTATGTCAAGTGAATTCATATTTATATAGGATTGCAGGCTCTCTTTATGGGTCTGACTACTCAAACTGGTTATATCAAAGGGAGTGAGGCTGTGTGCTTACAGCATATTAGCTACCCTGTGGCAATAGCTAGTAATGCTCTCCTGGCATTTTTTGGACTTCATGAAGACCTGCATCAAAAGTAGGGAGGATAAGTACAATGAGGGAAGCTCTGCTTTGTGCCCTATTTGTATACTGGAGAAAGGTTGGTGCAGGTCTGCCAGGGACTAATTGGTGACAGCTGAGGGAGAACTGCTCTTTAAATACCTGTATAGGTGCCAAGTATGGTTGGTCCTTCTCTGAATATTATTTCTAGATGAAAAGATGTAGCACCTGAATCTCTTCTTGCCTGAATCTGGCAGAATAGGTCTGTAAGAAGTGGCATAAGGGTGAAAACAGGCATTACCAAACAAAGCTGCTTGGCTTTGGCAGGATGCCTCCCACCACAGCTGATCTGCTTATTGGATGAAACACATGTTGCTTGTCCTACATCAGACCCAATGTCGGACAACAGAAAATGCATTCCCCTTGCCCTGGCATTCCCAGCGTCCCATGCTGCTTTGTGCCTCCTTGTTGGGACCTGTGCCGACCCATGCCTCATGCAGAGGGATGGGTAGACATGGATCTCACTGCAGGGCAGCACAGAAGTGTGGGGCAGCTCAGGATCCTCTGTACTCTGTGCCTCTATGCCAGAACCCACATCTCTGTGTGAAGCACAGGTTGGCATGGTTCCTGGCAAGGAGGTCCAGGGAGGTGCAGACCCCAGGGAACTCCTGGTGCCCCATGCCTCTGCGCTGGTACCCAGGCTGGGTCCTGCACAAACCTGTGCTTCATGCAGAGGACCAGGTCAGCATGGAGTGGGTCCTGGAGCAGAAGCACAAGGCACCATGAATTCTCCGCATCCCATGCCTGCACACAAGGACCTACATGGACTTTTTCTGCTTATAGAGATGTGCCCCTGAAGATCCCAGGGCAGGTCTCTGTAAGTGGGAAACCGTGATTTTTCCCCACTTTCCGAGATGCACCCTGAAATTCCTCAGGCTACTTTTCTGCAAATAGGGAAAGACAGACTGGTGTCTCTTGGGCTTGACAGGCTTGATCCTACATGGGAATTTCCAGGGTGCAAAGGATTGGGCCCCTCAAGGAGCATCTGGCCAGGGTGGCTAGAGAGAGTGTGGGTAGCTCCAGGCTGCCTGCACTCCTTTGCCACAGAGCAAATAGATATCCTGTGCAATAAAGTGGCAGTATTTTACACAACCTTTTATCGCAGCCATGAGTATAGTACAACAAAGGGTAGGGATGTCTATTTGCTTGCCATTTGTACTGCTGTAAACATTTTTATGGCAGCACAAATGCAGTATCTTTTCTACCCCAAGAAACTCATGTATTGACTTGCATTTGGAAGAGCTATGAGAGAAAACTTGAGCATCTGTTCCCATCCTGCTCCTAAGTGTTGAAATTAAAAAATTATTTGCGGAAGGTTGCAGAGGACAATACATTTCCCAAAAACACACAGGAAGCCATTTGATAATATTCCAAGAACAGAACAAAAAGCAACGTTAATATTTCCATCCTCTCTCAAACACAGTCATGCTTAGGGACTGTGCATATCCCTAGGTATGTCCTT